CGAAGATTTATACTTGGGTTCTCAGACATTGCTAGACCAATGAATGATTTGCTAAGAAAGATGCCAAATGGGACTGGACAGAGAGACAGCAAAACACTTTCGATGAATTAAAGAAACATTTTACAGAAGCTCCCGTCTTAGTAATGCCTGACGTTGAGAAGAAAATGAAAATAGAAACCGGTTGCTTCCAATTACGCACAGGAGCAATTCTAATCTCACTGATGGAAGATGACTTTGGCACCCAGTGGCTTACTACTCGAAATCAATGAATGATGCAGAAAGAAATTATGACATTCATGACAAAGAGTTATTAGCAATCATTCGAGCGTTGAAGAATGGAGGCACTATGTGCAGGGAAAACCCCAACATGTGAGATCTGGACAGATCACAAGAATCTCGAGTATTTTATGATGAGTCAGAAGTTGACACGAAGGCAAGCCAGATGGAGTCTATTCCTGCAGAGTATGATTTATGCTTCAACATAAGCCTGGTGTAGTCAATGACAAAGCCGACCGTCTATCTCGGAGAGAAGACCACAGAGGGGGGGGTAGGAAGAACGATAATTCTGACCGCATTTGTTGAAATGTGGAAACTGGAATTTTTCAAAATCAATGCTTGCTAAACGAGGCCAAATTCTCATAGAAGGAGAAAGTTTGCTCATGAAAAAGATAAGAAAGAGCACAGAACAAGAGCCCAAGTAATGAAAGCGCTAGAAACGCTAAAAGCAGCACCGGTACAATTGTTGCAGAGGAATCAAAGAATGGAATGTTGAAGATGGATTGGTGTTATTCTGAGGATTGGTATACGTTCCAAATGATAAAGAGATCCGCCGAGAGATACTAGAGTTGTTTCACGACTCTCCACCGGCTGGACATCCTGGACGTGCCAAAACCTTAGAATTGATTTCCAGAAACTATTGGTGGCCTTCAATGATGAAGTATGTCCATGATTATGTAGATGGTTGTGATCAATGCAAACATACGAAAGTGTTCCCAAGTAGACCAATGGACCTTTACAGCCAAATGAAGTCCCAGAAGTACCTTGGCAAACAACCTCATGTGACCTGATAGTGGACTTGCCGAAGAGTGAAGGATGCGGCAGTATATTTGTTGTCATTGATTGATTTTCGAAACAATTGCACTATCATTCCCACCACCCAAAGACATAGACTCGAAAGGAATTGCCAAGCTATTTCTGAGATACATATGGAAACATCATGGTACACCCAAAGAAGGTGATTTCAGACAGAGGAACACAGTTCATCTCGAAATTTATGGGACAAGTATCAAAAAGATTAGGAACGAAATGGTCTGCCTCGACCTCCTATCATCCCAGAACAGACGGACAGACAGAATGTGTAAATCAAGAAGTTGAACAATACTTGCGCATGTTTGCCTCGTATAGACAAAATGATTGGGTATCTTGGCTGCCAATAGCAGAGTTTTCATAACAATGCAGTCACAGTAACCGGTCACAGTCTGTTCAAAGTCCTCTATGGATATAATCCTGAATTCACCGTATCTCCAAACTCCACATCCTTTATTCCCGCTGCTGATGATGAGAGCAGATCAGATGAGAGAAGCAAGAGATGATGCGGAAAACACTCTAAAGATAGTCAATGAACATATGAAACGATTCTATGACCGAGGAGTTAAAGACGCACCTCAGTATCAAAAGGGAGACAAAGTCTGGCTAGACGCAAAGAACATTACACAATGACATCCAAGTCAAAGTTGTCAGATCGTCGTCTTGGGCCCTTTGAAATACTAGAGAAGACCAGTGAAGTGAACTACAAATTGAAATTGCCAGAGAGCTATAAGATTCACCCGGTCTTCCATGTAGAATTGCTTACTCCACATTATGCATCTCAATTGATCCCTCATTCTCAATCCACCCGACCACCTCCAGACATTGTTGACGATCAGGAAGAATTTGTCGTAGAAGAAATATTAGATAGCCGACAATTCCGAGGAAAAGTGCAATACCGAGTAAAATGGGAAGGATATCCGATAGAAGAGTCGACATGGGAACCAGAAGAGAACATTAAAAACTCCCTGATTCCAATTGTGGAATTCCATAAGAAGAATCCCACGGCTGCCAAATCCAAACGAATTCTAGGATCTATTCTCGACACAGAAGAATTCAAACAATGGAGAGAGAAAAACATCTGACCATCTTACATTCGCGATGACGCTCATCCTAGAGGGGGGGTAATGTCACGAGTTCCAAATACACATCATTATTATTTCCTGAATACTAGTAAGACATTCAATAAGCGCCTGTCACAAATGCCCAAATCAGCGTCTATACCTATAACCTTCACAAACCCTAACCTGAACTTCTCTATTCCATTAGCGCCCACTACTTCTATTTCCGATATTCCTGATTACAACTTTCTTTCACAAGCGATCAAGTCACGTGACACTAGAATCATCTAGAACCTTTCCGCAGTAACCATGTGTTTCATGACATCATAGGTGTAGTTATATTTAAATCATCTGTCATATACCATATTCCCGGGTACAGATCCGAAGATCTGGATCTCAGATCCAATCCAGATCCGATGGACATATCCGTCATCCTGTCCACAGATCCGATCTGATCCTTATTTCATGTCCTGTTCATATAACTCTAACTATCGTTCATCTCCTTTCGGCATTCCTGTACACCGGTATACCGGTTATCCTTTACTTCTGTTATGCTTACTGATCCGCTACACTTACTGATCCACTTTAGCTTATACTTCATTCCCGGTTATGATACATTATCCATCCGACTTACCAATATGCTGTACACATACTTTGCTTATACTTCGCACATAGCCTCGCACCTTTGCTTATTGATCATTCCGTTAGTTATCCGTAGTATATAAACCCTTGTACATGTGCTGTAGTAGATCAGTTCGAATATCATCTTAGATTGCACTCATTCTGTCAGGACTCTAAATCCCTCCATTATCTGTCTGGACTCGAGTACATTACTCTTGTCTACTCCGAGACTTAGGATTGATTCCTATAGTCTATATATCCGTCTCTGTCTTCGGACAGTCCTCACCTGTTAGTTTCTAGTTCGGATCCGATCCGGATTAGCCGTTACTCTATATGTTTGATATCCGGAAGCCTTAATGGATCCGTTACGATACTTATCCGTCTCACTAGACGCGATACTCTAGCACTCTGAAATAAGGGGGCAAGACTCAGGAAAGGGGCACAGCGCACGAGCTGAGGCCAAAGCCCTTCAGATCCGATACTACTTGAGTACGGTCTTAACATCATCGTACGATTCCTTTTCTATTTAATGATTGGCTAGTTATTTCATACTCAGATTCAGTCTCTGTCTCAATATATGTATATAGGTAGTTCCTTGTAGTCAGTAGTTCTTCAGTTCAAAGCTCTTGTGTATTAGCTCATTGCTAGCAATCTAGGACGTACCTGCTATTCTCTATCCTCTTGTTGTAATATCCTTTGTTTGAGTCCTAGTCTCTGCCCCTGCGTTAATTCATTATAAGGGTTGTGACAGATGGCCTCCTGTGAATAAATATTCATGGCCTCGCTGTCGAGTGGTCAGACTTCGAACTGCGCGCGCATCTTCTTCAACAAAATCAAGTCCAGCTGGAGAATGTTTCCCATCAGTTTAAGCAAGTTGTCAGCCACATTCAATAGGTGCTTACTCCTGTGCAGGGCAAGTTGAAGTATGGCCCTGTGCGATCGAACTGACCCTCGAGGTCGAGTGTCACAGGAAATTTGAAAGTGAACAGCTCTCCTGAGTGGTTCACCCAGTACTCAGCATTGTTGCCCATGCCTCTTAAGGGACGCAGGTTGTTTGCGGCGGGAACACTGGTAATCGTATGCTCACTGACAACACCAGGTGATGTCACCAAGACATATAGAGACCTCCACAAGGGGCTCTGGGTACCACCGTTGCGCTTGTCTTGAGATGTCAAAGACTCTTCGAAGGTTTGCGACCCATGGGAGCCAACATTGCTTGTGGGAGAAGACATAGATTTGTGTAGCAAAGATTTGTTGAAAGTGTGGATATTTGGGAGAATGTGCAATGGTTGAGTCCAGCTATCCAAGAGGGTATTTCTGTCTTCTCATTTGACAAGGCATCTGGTACTCACCCATCTCACCCAGACTGTGAATAAGACGTTGCTGTCAAGCCAGCTCACCTCTCCGCTGACATCTCTTCACTTTTTTGTGACAGCATGCGACAATCACTTTGTTGTTGGAGTGGACGTCTCGGTGTTTGTATCTGTGACTGAGATGTGAAACTCTATTATGGGTCTCAAATGATGATACAGATCACCAGAACAATGTGCCGAGCTCAGAAACAACACAAAGTCATTGCACTGGTTGCCCTTGCGCGTTCGTGCTGTGGTTTATGTAATCATCTGACTTTCTTTGGCAGAGTTTGACCAGCACGCTGCAAGGCTCACTTTCCCCCTAAATTTACCATCCACCATGTATGTTAGTCCTATAATATACAGTCTGTGTGTACTCAGTATCAAACAATACAACTTGTCTTTACATGACAACCATCCGATGGAACCTACGTAAGTTGAACATTTTTCTACAACAGAACAAGTAGGTGCGAGCGCTTTCAAACTCTCTGCCAAAGTATTATTTCGTTTCTCATGAGTGGATCTTTCAACTACCGTTCCAGCACCTATTCATGTTGTAGACTGAGCATTCTCAACAACAGTGTCCATCATTTGTCCATGGAGTGAAACATAGGGCACATTTGGGAGTTTGGAGGCCTCCGATACAAGGTGGCAGGCGAGTCTGTCACTGTAAGCATACACTATGGCCACTGTTACATCATTGGCCAATTTCATAATAGTATCTATTCAAAATCACGATGGGTACTTAAGTATCTGCTGGAAGACTTACCAGCGAGCATGGCAGGCATGTCTAACAAAAGGTCTGGGGCAATCAGAGCACCAGCGTCCTCTCTGGTCGGAAAGTGTGCCTACGTACCAAAAATGAACACCCCCTCCCCATCAAACATCTCGACGAGATCAGCTACAGCAGGATTAATCATTTCACACAGCAAAATCAAGGAAGAGAATGTGTAAAGGGGCAAGTTCCCATGCAAGTCTAAAGCTCTTCGATTGTGCGGTCCAGTCTGGTATCCACTTCGATCTTTTGGACATGCCAAGATTGAGATGGGTGACTCCGTGTCTCGGATGTCATTTCAACTCCCAAACAGATTATTCACAATGTTCCAGAACTTTATGAACAAGGCGCGATGAAACTGAACATTCAGTATTCACATGTTGTGCTTTTGGGCAATGTCATGTTGTGTTCTGTTTTAATTCAGCAATCAATTTCAAATCGCCATTGTCATCCTCCAGGTGTACACGACATGTCATACTTACTCAATTACGTGGTAATACAAAGCAATGTCTTGCATTTTTGGTCGCTCCAGATGTCTTCGCCTGTATGGTTCACCTTCCTGAATGTCAGGTCCAAAATTCGGCATGACCAATTGTCCT